ACACAGATGTCTCCACAGACCTGCTTTCCTCTGCTTTTTAAATACGCAGTTTCTCCACAGACCTGCTTTCCTCTGCTTTTTAAATACGCAGTTTCTCCACAGACATGCTTTCCTCTGCTTTGTGGAGTGCATGGATGGTGTCTCTGGTCCTCAGCTCCTCTAGGTTGCATGATTAGTGTCTGTTTCTGCAGAATTGGTGCGATCATCTTGGTCTTCCTCTCCTCTCAAACACTCTTGCTCTCATGCCTATTTCCATGAATTACTGCTCCTGTTCCTTGTCCTGAGCCTGGACACAGCAGGCTCTTCCAGCCTCCTCGCGGTCAGCCCCTCCCTTGAGGCACGGCCCCGGCTGCGCTGGCTTCTGCCAGCTGTGGGTCAGTGTCATCTTTTTGTTTCTCTAATATTTGTCAACCTCTGCCCATCATCAGTCAGTTCTGTGGATAGGACCGAGTGTCCTCTGTGTTTATCCTAGTTGTGTGCCCATGCAGAAATCCCCTGACCTCATGAATAAAGATCTCAACGTCGCCTGATGAAAATGCTGGACAAAACGATTGTGAACGGAAACAATAGGAGAATGATGCTCTAAACCTCAGTCACTGACTGCTATAGTGTTGGAATTGATACTAACGATTGATATCTAATTGGTTAACAGTACGAATTAATATTTCATAGGAGTGCATCTGTATTCCTCTCACCTTATTTGGTAGAATTCTATTGTCATTATTTCTTCTTTCCATGAACTTTGATCTCATTTGCCAGGTGGTTTTTTTTTTAATCTTACACACACCACTGTGACACCGATCAGAAATATTAAAACTGATGTGGACCCAATCCATTCACCTTCTCTCTCTTTTTCTAGGTAGTTGCTATGTACTTATCTCAGTCCTCCTCAGCCACAATGAAAATGCCATCTTCCACTGAGAACTAAGTCCCCTCAGCATGTCCCTTCAAAGAGCTACGCAGCAGCTGCAAGCTCTCAGCTTTGAACCATCGCAGCCTGCTCCACCCTTCCAGGTCTTATTTAACACGCATCTTATATCCTCTATCACATAATCAGAACTTTAAATCTGAGGTACATAGACCTTTGATCCAACAAGCCTCTGGTTTCCCCTTAATTTTCTAATTTGTATTTACCTACCTGTTGTCAGTTTTCCAACCTAGCTAATTTAACTTGGCTTCACACTACATCTCCACAGGAAAAACAATGAGTCATCACTGTATTATGCTTGGGAAACAAACACGGTCCTTCCTAAACACTGGTACATTTTCTTTCACATAAATCGGTTGCGTCCAGTGTCCTGATTTGTTTTCATTTAAAAAATAAATAAAATAGCCAGCACCAGTGGCTCATGCCTATAATCCTAGCTACTCAGAAGGCTGAGATTTGAGGATCACAGGTCAAAACCAGCCAGGCAAGCAAGACGATGAAGCTCTTATTGCCAACTAACCACCAAAAACCCAGCAGTGGAGCTGCAGCTCAGGTGACAGAGCGTTAGCCTTGATCCCAAAAGCTAAGAAAGAGGATCCAGGCCCTGAGTTCAAGCCCCAGTAGCAGCATCCACCAACACACACACACACACACACACACACACACACACACACAGCACATGCACCGGCACACGCACGCACACACATGCACAAAGACACGTGTATATATTTGTGAGGGATGACTGATATAAGACTGCCTTTTACAATATCAAATGCTTTCTAAAGTGAAAGGAAAAACATTAAATACAGATTCCAGTGTTCATAAATAGAGTTTTATTGGACATAGTTCTGTTCCTTCATTACAGTATCATCTAAGGCTAAGGCCTCTGAAGGGAAAGAATCAGACAGTTGCATTAAAGACCCTAAAATGTATAAAGCACAAAGTGTTCACTATCTGATTCAAGAAAAAAAAAGTAGATGCTGGTGATTGCCCAGCGGAGCCCTGCTGCTTACTTCCAATCCCTACACATATCTCCTCCGGAGAGAAAACCACCATTAACAAATTTTACCTCTATTTATTTGCATTGCATATGCTGGTGCTTAGAAGACAATGCACAATAAAACACTATGCACACAGGCTTCCTGACCTTGATCACAGCAAAACCGTGAGCGAGGCAGCAAGGTCCTCACAATCCACAGACATCACCCCACGAGGAAGGTCGGGGGAGGCAACCTGAGGGGCTGATGGCCCTGCGAGGTACGCGTGATGCTCACAGCGCGTCTGCCAGCCGCAAAGCCCAGGAAAGGTGGTCTGCGGTGTCATTTTCTCAGGGCAGGGCTCTGGAACGCACACACCGGCCTGCAGCGACACCCGTGGATTCCCGACTGCTCAGGCCGGAGGGGGAGAAGGTTGACAGGGAAGGATTACAGAGAAAAACACAAACAGATTCTCGTGTGTTGCGTGCGTTTATTATTTTTCAATTCAGCAAAGTGCTTTATGGGTAAGCACGTGCATCACATTCACCTAAAATTATACACGTATGACGCACTGCTGCTGGGAGTCGATTATACCCTGACAGACCTGTTAAACTTTTGATAAAGAAATGAAAAGACAAGGCACAATTATTTTCATTGACAAAGTGTCACGTGTGCTCTTAGGTCTGAGCTAAGAGAATGCACAGACAGACAGTGCCCAGAGAGAGCGCCTGTTTCAGATGAGAGCTTTGGAAAGTACAAGAAGGAAATGGGTCGCTCACGCTAGTTTTCGCACACAGGTGATACTCCAAAATGCAAAGTGGGTTAAAGAAAAACACGTTCCTCTCATGTTCAGAAGAAAACAAAGTGGGCTTGAACTGATTTATAGAAAACTTTGAATTGTAAAGAACAGGTATTATTGTTTTGGTTTTGATGAGGCAACTGAGTGTTTCTCCCTAGTATCAAAGGTGGCTACTTCATAAGAAGCAGTGCTAATCTCTCTCACTCAGAGAGAAAAGTTTGATCTTTTGTTTTCCATGCCTCAAGCCTTATTAGTTAGAATACTTCCATTCTGCCAACATATTTGGCTCTTGTCATTGTCTCTTCCCTGTAGATTCCGACCACTGGGAAGCCCAGCCCCGTGAGGGGAGCAGGGGTTCACAATCACCTTCTGAGGTCCAAGAGACCAGGCCCAGGTCCCCAGAGGCAGGGAGGACTAGCAGTCTGCTCTGCTTGGCTGACTCTTAAACTGTTCCTCTCCATCAATACGGTGAGTTCTTACACAGACTATTCTTCCAGGATCAGAAGGAGATGAGGCTTATCTCGTAAGTTGTGTGTGTTTGTGTGTGTTCATATGCATACACTGTATGAACCTGAAAATAAAAGCATATACATCCAGCAGCAATATTCCTGATGATTATTTGCAGGTGAGTCTGACCGTTCTACAGAACTTTGGTAAGACTGTGGCTTCTAAATATATCTAGATATTCTTTTTCACAGACATTCTGTGCACTTGCTATAGTGTTTCAAGGCTACTGGGCAGATCTTGGTACACTCCATTCCAGTCTATTTCGTTATATTTTACCTTCCTGACCTCAGCAGAGGAAATATTTTTATTTCACATCATGTCCTCAAATTAAAGAATGCAAAGGAAAAGTTTGCTTGCTTAGTTGCCTTTATGTTTTATGGTCAATTTATAAACTCCTTATTTTTAATTATCTTTAAGTAGTTAAGGGTTTCAATTCAAAGTGTCATTTATGAGTACAGTGCATCTTGGTCAATGTTGCCCCTCCCATGGTTGTCTCCTGCCTGCCCAACCCCTCCCCTCACCCCACCCACCCCCATCTCACAGACATGCATTGGATATTATTGCTGCACTCTCCTACTCTTCTTCTTCCTCTCTTCATTTATCACGGTGTAACATCTATATCTCTGTGTGTTTGCCTGTCTTAGAGACATTGAAGGGACAACAGTCTTTTTAAAAATATAAGGCCAAAATGATTTTGATATTTATTAAAGGCTCTAAAAGACCAGAACTGTGTTGTTAGAGTTAAGAATGGAGGGAAAAAACCATTAGAGGCAATGGTTTAGAAGGAAAGTAATGTGTAACATAATAACTAAACCTACAGAGAAACGAACACACTTTGTCCAGATTCGGGAGAGAAAGGTGCTGCACCGGGCAGACTGGCTCAGAACTAAATCCGATGGAAGAAGTCCTGGTTAGCACGTTTTCTAGGCGACCTTGGAAAACTACAAGAATACATTTGTGAAGTGGTGATAGCATAGTATCTTCCAAACTTAGTGACTGAAAACAATTGCTTAATCCCTTTCTCTGCCAATGTCTTAAAACACAGACAAGAGCTCTGTCTCTCTCGTGGTGTGCTGTGATTTAATGAAGTCCCGGCCGCGGTGGCCTCCACGCTGGCCGGCACGCAAAAGTCCTCCATGCCTGCGACCCTGTCTGCTCTTCCCCTTCTCCCAGTTTCCTTTGCTACACAACAACCCTTTCCTGTTGCCATCCCTCCTTTCCTGGCTCTCTATCTGGTTCATTCCCATCACCTGTGATACCGCAGAAGCAAGGAAAAGCCAATTAAAAAAAAGAAAACAGGTGGGGACGAGACGCTTGGAGCAGAGCAAAGCACTTTATTAAATTAGGATCTGCATGACCTAAATAAAGATACTGACACCGGAGGGGAAAGTCAAGGGGCATCCGAAAGGGTGGGCTCCACATCCAAGACAGCAGAGAACTCATATAGAAAGAAAAGCACGGATGTCAACAACAGCTCTGCGCAGATGCTCACTGAATAACACCGGGTATTTTTTTTTCTTTTATAGGGAAATGTAAAGCTCATTTTGCAGAGACAAAATGCAATTTCACCTTTAACTGCTACCATTTATTAAAAAACAAACCGAAGCGAGCTGAGTTTCTCTTCTAAACCATGTGCTGGTAAGAATTCCATTAACAAGTAGATCTCAGCCTGCCAAGTGGGTCACTGAGATTGTGTGCTCCAGACCTCGGATCTCCAAGCCCCTCGAGATGCCAGCGTGTATCTGATGAGACCTTCCCCGGGAACCCCCCCGCCACGCCCCGGGGAAGGATGGACGCAGGGAACCATTCCTGGGGCTCCGTCTTCATCCTGGAGGGGCTCACAGACAAGCCCGGCCTGCAGCTCCCGCTCTTCCTTCTGTTCCTCGGCATCTACGTGGCCTCCACGGTGGGGAACCTGGGCTTGGTTGTCCTGATCGGGCTCAGCGCTCAGCTTCACACCCCCATGTACTACTTCCTCCGCAACTTGTCCTTCATTGACCTCTGCTACTCCTCGGTCATCATCCCCAAGATGCTGGTGAACTTTGTGACCCAGAGGAACCTCACCGCCTTTCCCGAGTGCATGGCCCAGCTCTTCTTCTTCTGCTTCTTCGGCATCGACGACTCCTACATGCTGACGGCCATGGCATATGACCGCTATGTCGCCATCTGCAGCCCCCTGCATTACCACGCCACCATGTCCCGCAGGACCTGCCTGCTGCTGGTGGCCGGCGTGTACATGGTGGGGGCCTTCGGGGCGCTGGTGCACACCACCTACATCGCCAGCCGCTCCTTCTGTGGAACCAACGTCATCCACCATTACTTCTGTGATATCCTGCCGCTTCTGGCTATTTCTTGCTCGAGAGACCACAGCAAGGAGCGCTGGGTGATGACGCTGGTTGGGTTCAATGTGTTCGCCTGCGCCCTGGCCATCGTCATCTCCTATGCCTTCATCCTGGCCAGCATCCTGCGCATACGCTCGGCCGAGGGCAGGGCCAGGGCCTTCAGCACCTGCAGCTCCCACCTGGCCGCCGTCGGCGTCTTCTACGGCTCCATCCTCTTCATGTACTTCAAGCCAGCCACCGACGACACCACCCAGGAGAAGGTGGCCTCCGTCTTCTACACCACCGTGATCCCCATGCTCAACCCCCTCATCTACAGCCTGAGGAACAAGGACGTGAAGGAAGCCTTGAAAAAGATCCTGAGAGGTGGGACACTCCCTGAGTGAAAAAGAGAGGAAGGGAGGAAGGAAGGAAGGAAGGAAGGAAGGGAGGGAGAAAGGGAAGGAAGGAAGGAAGGAAGGAAGGGAGGGAGGGAGGGAGGGAGGGAGAGAGGGAAGGAA